AAGGAAGCTGAATGGATATGGGAAGGTGAAGACAAACCGCTTTTAAACTGCAAGTTTGCAAGCCCGAGGCCTTCTCCCTATTACACAACAAGCATTAAAGAAAAATTGTTCTTTCCTGGATACAGAGATAAACCTCCATTCTGCTAGAAGCTTCTGCAGCAGGATTCTTGTAGGATTTTTCCACTGAGACATTACAGCTAGGAAGAAGTCTTTAGCCTGTCTCTTTGGCACCACCTCCTGTTCTCGGTTAAACACTTTCCCCCAACTCCACTTGTGATAACTAATGGAATTAGACAACCGTCTGCTGGGCCAGGACTTTCTTCCCCCAGAATCTAGCCCTCGGTTGTAATCACCATTTGAGAAGAGAAAATCATTGTAGACTATTTTTCCACTGTTTCAAATAGCTCAGAGGCAGGGAAGCTGTTATTCCCTCTTTAGCACGGCCCTGCCGCATAGACCTGTCATCCCCTTCCCTCCCTGGCCTGAGCCAATCACCGTCCCACCCCCCGCCCCTGCCAGGCTGGGAACAGATGACAGCATCACAGCCTTCTCCAGCATTCCAGGTTGCCTGCTGACCCATAGCCCCCTTCTCCAAAAGCTAACCTGTGCCAACAGAAGCAAAGAAGGAGCTGTGCTCAGAGAGAGTGATGTTCTCTCTTCTTCCTCCTCAAAAGACAGAGGAGGAGGGAAGCGGGAGAGATTCTGCAGAATACCTTCAAAATACTGTTGCTTGTGGAGACCACCATGACATTCTCTGCTTGACGGCTGATACTCCAAGATTTGGACAAGTGAGGTGCCCCCTCCCCCGCCCCCAGCTGTACAAAGCCACTAGCCTGGGAGTCCGGAGGCTTGGGCTATGAGAGCTCCATCCCCATCCACTGTCTGACCTCTCTCTCTCATTGAGCCATCGGGCTCCTCTGCTGGCACATGGGGCCAGCACAAAGATCCCCGGTGGTCCAACTCTTTTCCTACAGAGGCAATGTAACGTGGTAAAGCATAAAAACAGAGTCACTCTAGGTGGGGTCTGAGGCCCCATCCCTTATGGGAAACCAGAACCATCTTCAGGAACACGAGGGTCCCCTCAACATGGTATGGAAAAAGAGAAGTGACATCTTTTCCTGATGTTATATCCTACAGCTGCAAAATTCTCACCTCAGCAACGAGGGAGCCTCAAACCCCTGCTTTGGACGGAACAAGGCTGCCAAGCCCAGGTCAGGGGTGGAGGGGGTTGTTTGAGAGAACGGAGGACAGGCAGGAGGGGGCCAGGCTCAGGCTAGAAAGGGGGGAAATGGTGGCTAGTTTAAAAATGTATTCTGATGACTCTAATGGGAAGAAAAGTCTATTTTCCTCTTAGATTTCCAACCACTGTGAAGAAATCAAGGAACAAGTGCCTCATATCCTTCACTGAGGATTGAAGAAAAAGCAGCAGAAGTAACCCCCGAGCTAAAGCATTCATGTCAGATATAAGAACTGACTTCCTAACTGGGCTGGTTATTGGGGACTGGAAAATACTAAGAGAAACTTGAGGCCAATCTTTTCTGAAAAACTCTTAGAAAAAGCACAGAAATCCAGGCTTAAGATGAGATTTCAGTCTATATATATATATAACAATCACTTTTCTGTACTCTAGGGGCTGGCATGACAGAGATGAGAGATTTAAAAGGTCATGACATCACTGAGAGGTGTGAGAGGAAATATTCCTAGGTATTCAAGGATGACCCCATCCTCTACGATGTCTTCAGGGACCACATCAAAGGAGAGATACCAGTAAAAAAAAAAAAAAAAAAATCAAGAGAACAAATAATCAACCATTTGGCTTTGACTTTCTAGAAATGCTCTTAAAACTTAAAGCTGAGACAAGAGAGTTCTGATTTGCGAGAAGTGGAGATGTTGTAATTCAAAGACCAAAGGCTGGGAGAAGTAGAACCTACCTCTGAGATTCACAAGACAAGGTGCTAGACCCTGCCCTCACATACCTTCGACACTCACATCCAGCGCTGATCCAAGTTGAGCCTACAAGAAGAACCATTTCGGGAAGGAGAAGAAAAGGTGGAGGCAGGTGAGCCCCTAAGAAAGCTTCTGCTCACCACTGTTCTCCCTGTTCTCCAACCCAACTCTGGGTCCCAGGCAGGGATGAGGTGCTTGTGAAACCACAGACAGGTGAACAGCCCCAGTGACAAAGAAGACCTGTGCTCTCTTACCAAGTGGAAATTCAATTCGGGGCAAGCTTTGTGGAAATACCCTCTGCAAAAAATAGAAATGGCTGCTAAGCAGATCCAAGGACAGAGGGCTTGAGAGAGCAACCTCACCAGTCTTTCTTGATACTAAAAGATTATGGAAGTATATCCCAAGTTTTCTGTGGCCCTGACCTCCCCCTTGCACCCTCTCCTTCCCCTTCACCCCCGCCCCCCGCCGCTTCCGAGAGCCTCATGGAAAGAACTGTCAAATCAAAGGAAAAGGTCAGCCCTCCCTCCACTGTGTCCAGGTAAAATGTTATTAAGTTCAATGTTGCATTTCATATCATGACCCCGGGGACTTATCACTGCCTTCACTGCCCATAATATATTCTTATCCCCCAGGTGAACACTGATCAAATCTGTATTAAAGAGTTAAGCATTATACCCTGATAGGGGAGTATAGTCTCCTCCATGAGGATGTTGTTGCATATGTAGTAAGTTAACTACAGCCACCCGGTCTTATCAGCACTTAGTTTCCGCTTCCCCCTCACGCCTGTATAAAAACTCCACAGTAAGTCACAGCCCAGAAAGTGGGTCTTAAACCAAGGAGGACAGAGCCTCAGGCAAAGAACTGTACCCAGTTTGAGCGATACCTCAAGTAACAGACTCATCATTGCAAGCTTCCAAGGTGATATTTCTTAGACAAGTGCCAGATGATGTGAGACACAATGTGGAGTTCCAGAGCTCCTTCCCATGCAGAGGCAGAGGACTTCATAAAACCAAACCACTGACCCAAGAGCCAGTGGAACAAAAAATAATTACAAACGACTAAAAGAACTGATGAAGGAAATATAATTTGGATTACTTGTTTTGGAATACTGTTGTTAGTACTTTTTTATTGTTGTCATTTCTGATGAGTGTATGAAGCCCCTTCTCATTCTTCCTGATTTATCTCTTACTATTAACCTAGTAGTTCACCTTTTTCAAATATTTTCAAATGAAACACTTTTAAATGGCATTCTTGTTCTCACTGACCTTTCAGGATTCTCAAACAATACTCTTTTCTAAGTCTCTTTGCTGTTTAACGGCAATGCAGTAACTTGCAAAGGTTCAGGAAGAATCTGTTCTAGTTTTTACCAGAACATAATTAAACAAATGCATGGTATAGGCAAAGCCATACCTGGAGTGTCATATTTGAGAGTGAATCTCATTTAATCAGGTGTGACAAGTCTACCATTAAGAAATAAGCACTGGGGTGCCTGGCTGGCTCAGTCAGGAAAGCATACTATTCTTTATCTCTGAGTCGGGGGTTTAAGCCCCATGTTGGGCATAGAGTTTATTTAAAAAAAAGAAGAAGAAGAAAGAAAGAAAGAAAGAAACAGGCATTGTACTTCATGTAGAGACTTCCCATGAAACCAGTCTGTTACCTTACCATGGCAAATCAGGAAGCCTGAGCAGATTTGGGGCCCCTGAGGAGAGGTGAATTCACCCCCTTGTAGAGATACCACAGGCAAAATGGTGGAGGTGACTTTCTTGGTTTGGCTTCCTCACCTCCGAATAGAAAAGTAAATAAAACCAGTAAATAATATACCCAGAATAATACAGACTATTGAAACTTCCTCAGATTACTAAGAAATCCCCAGACAGAAGTGAATTTTCTGGGTCTTGTAGTTTCTTCACACCACAGGGCTTTAGGTTTTCAGACGATACTCCAAGGGGGCACATGTACATGAATGAACATTTCTTACTGCAATTATATAAATGAATCAGGCCCAAACACGGGGAGATCAGCTTTTTGCTAATCAAGAGGAATTTATGGGGATTAGCTGTGACCCTAGCACTGGTTTACAAGGTACTTCCACATTCTCAGCCAGACCTTCCAAAGAGCATCTTAATGTGGCAATTCCTGTGATCGCCACCATGAACAAGGCACATGCAAGCATCTTCACCTATGTGCCCCAGAAAAGGCAATACGACCTACGAAGAGGGGAATGCATGAATGCACACACCCTAATCACCTTCTCCCATTACCAACAGAAGACACCTTAGAAGAGACATGTGTGCACGCACGCACACACACTCATTCACGCACAGAAACATGCAACATTTTCCGTGGAACAGCAGCTACCACAGAGAAAGCCCAGCCCCACGGAAGGCAGATGCAAACTTCCATCTTGGCTCTCATTAAGGAAGGCTCAAAAGCGGGCCAAGGCCAAAGGGACAGCCTTACTTTCTCCATCACTGAAACATCCAAATAAAGCCAACCTTCCCTGCCCCTCTCAGCCATGGGAGAGAAACAGCCGGCCCTGGAGAGTTTTTCTCCTTCCGTGCGTCCCCTGGCTCTGTGCTGCAATCCGAGCAGAATATATTAATGAAGAAATGCCTTTTGGAGGGTGGAAGACTCTCCACTCTTGTGACCTCTCTGCAGTCTCTGTTTTGAAACGCAGCCTTGAGAAGTTCAAAGGACTTAGAGATTCAAGATCAGGGAGGACCAAGACGCACCCCAGGGTGGGCCGTGGTCTGGGATGCGAACAAACCCGCCCTTCTCGTGTCACAGCTGACATGACCTCTGAAAGAACCTAGTGCATATCCTGGTCTCATAGAATTATCTTCCAAGACTCTTAGCTTTTTTTTTTCTTTTTAATGGTAGCTGAAGGCAGTTAAGTTTCAAGTCCCTACACAAGCTGGAGTACTTGCCACGTCCCTCCGTTTCCCCTCATGTGGGCTCAAACAGCTTTGTTAACCGCCAGCTTCCTAGCATGGGGGGCAGAGCTTGGCCATGTCAGCCTCACTCCAGGGGGGTCTCCTGCAATCCCCACTCACCATTCTTTTCTGTCTTGTGTTTTGGTGGCTCAGGCTCCGGAAGACATGGACAGGGCCCGTCACAGAGGATGGTGAGGCTTTTTCCAGTGGAACAAGCATGGAACTCCAACTTGCACTGCAAAAGAGAGACAAAAGAGGCTTTAAGAATGCAGCTGAGCAAAAGGAAACAGTCAAGAAAACCAAAAGACAACCGACAGAATGGGAGAAGATAGTTGCAAATGACGTATCAGATAAAGGGCTAGTATCCAAAATCTATAAAGAACTTATCAAACTCAACACCCAAAGAACAAAGAATCCAATCAAGAAATGGGCAGAAGACATGA